AATGTGGCTTTTGGGATAGAATCGATGCAGATGTAATTAGTTAAGATGAAATCATTAGGGTGTCCTATCATCTATGTGACATCCTTAGTAAACATTAACACGCACACATGCACACAGAGAGAGATTGCATAAACATTGTATACGGATAGAGACAGAGACCTACAAGCCAAACAAGACAACAAGCCACCAGACATTAGGAGAGAGACAAACAGATCCCCCCTCCTTGCTCTATGAATGAGCCAACTCTGCCAACACGTGGGTCTGAGACCTACACTTCTCCAGAACTCCGGGACAGTACGGACTCTCGGGCATCCTGTGGGGTACTTGGTTAACACTACTGTTGTGGGGAGCTGCGGGTTGCATTCCGCCACCCAGCTCCCGCCACCGGCTAGCTTTACCTGAAATAACAACACACAAATTGTATTCATTTAAACACTGCTTGGCCCATTATATCTAGCCTCTTCTTGGCTAACTCTCGCACCTGGACTAGCCCATTTCTTTTTTTTTCTTTTTTTTTAAATATTTATTTATTTATTATGTATACAATATTCTATCTGTGTGTATGTCTGCAGGCCAGAAGAGGACATCAGACCTCATTCCAGATGGTTGTGAGCCACAATGTGGTTTGCCGGGAATTGAACTCAGGACCTTTGGAAGAGCAGACAATGCTCTTAACCACTGAGCTATCTCTCCAGCCCTGGACCAGCCCATTTCTAATAATGTGTGTAGCACCCCAAGGTGCGCTTACCGGGAAAGATTCAGCATGTCTGACCTGGCGGCTTGCTTCATTGCGTCTGCCCGGGAGAGGGGAGCATGGCCTCTGTCTGAGGCATCTTACCTCACTTCCTCTTCCTTCCAGCATTCTGTTCTGTTTACTCCACCCACCTATGTTCTAACCTATGAGGGCCAAGCAGTTTCTTTATTTTTTAACCAATGACCTTCCTCCATCACACTACCTCTAGCATCCTAGGAGAGGGCAGCATCTCAGTGGTGCTTCGCTCCCTCTCTCATTCCTGTGTCCTCTGGGAAAGGAGCCCTTGCATCCTCGCACAGTACGCTATCCTCTGGTGGAGTCCGACGTCTTACACAACAATTCTGCTCTATCGTGCCCACCGCTCAGCCTTTCGACCCCTCTCTCAATACTCCATTGAGACAATTTTGACATCTTCAAGTGGTCCCTGTAGGTGATTGTTTAGTCAAAGCTTCAAGGGAGGGCTGGAGAGATGGCTCAGAGGTTAAGAGCACTGGCTGCTCTTCCAGAGGTCCTGAGTTCAATTCCCAGCAACCACATGGCGGCTCACAACCATCTGAGACCTGGTGCCCTCTGCTAATGGGCAGGCATACATGCAGATAGAACATTGTATACATAATAAATAAATAATTTTTAAAAAAAAGCTTTCAAGGGAGTTGTCCCAGGAAGACATGAATACTGGCTCCAGGTGTCTTTGCTAGGATGAAACTCAAGTCACATGAAGATGCTGTCCATGTCGCAAGCCCTTGTCCACTCTGTTTGCTTAGGTCCACTGTAGTTGGTCCATAGTCCCAAAACCTCCTCCCCTATACATTCTCCTGGCTCCTCCTGATGCTTCTTTCTGGATAACTCAGATTCTACCGAATTTTGAAGTCAGTAGGCCTTTGTCCCCTGTCCAGGACAATCTCCCCCACATGCTCAAGCTTGGTCTTAGTTTCTGGGTTAGAGGCCCTGAGGGAGGCAGGTTCAGACTTTGTGAAGGTGAACCATCTTCCCAAGGGTCTGCCTCTGGCAGGCTGTACTGACCGACTCTGTATGTCAACACAAGCTAGAGTCATCAGAGGAAGGAGCTTCAGTTGAGGAAATGCCTCCTGTGAGATCCAGCTGTAGGGCATTTTCTCAATTAATGATCAATGGAGGAGGGCCCAGCCCATGGTGGGTGGTGCCATCCCTGGGCTGGTGGTCCTGGGTTCTGTAAGAAAGCATGCTCAGCCAAGCCAGGGAAAGCAAGCCAGTAAGCAGCTCCTCTCCATGGCCTCTGCATCAGCTCCTGCCTCCGGGATCCTGTCCTGTTTGAGTTCCTGTCCTGACTTCCTTCAGCGATGAACAGCAATGCTGAAGTGTAAGCCAAAAAAAAAACCTTTCCTCCCCAACTTGCTTTTTGGTCATGGTGTTTCATTGCAGCAATAGAAACCCTAGCAGAGACAGAGGCCTTCAGAAAGTCTCCAGTGCAGGGGAGGCTGTTCACCTCCAGCAAGGTAGAGGTTCTTCCAGTCCAGGGGATCTAAAGAAGGCTGGGAGTTAAAGGCTACCCTCTCCATGTCCCATTCCCTTTCCCCTGGGACTTTAGCAGAGGAGACTTGCTTGGGTTCTGATTTCAGCCTGTTTGGTCACTTTGAAGCCAGGATCAAAGGACTTTTATTTGGGTGATGGTCCCCAGGAACCCCAGGAACACTAATAGGAGTGAGAGAAATGGGAGATTTGGGAGGAGAGGAAGCCAATAAATAATGTCACTGAGCAAACCATTGCTGTGCAAACTGAAGAGCTCTGCTGGAGAAGTCTGGGAGGCAGCAGGACATGCTCAGAGTCCTGCCATTCTAGGTGTAGGGGAAGCACCAATAGTTGTCTTCCAACTCAGCTCTGTCACTGATGGAGAGATGTAACCGAAATCCTAAGCTCCCCGGATTTCCTCTTTGTCCACAGCAATGGTTTGCAGCCAGGATCCTCTGAAAGAGTAGTAAGCACTCTTTAACTTCTGAGCTGAGAGACAGCCGGGAGGAAAGTAGAATACACCCAAACACAAGCCTCGCTGGCACAAGAACTGTTTTAAACTGAGGGCAAACAAGAGGATGAAGCTCCAAATAAAGCTTCCTGCCTTTCTGAGAACTTGCTAGAAACAGAACTTCAGCATCCAGGATCTGGAGAGATGGCTCAGGGGTAAGGAGCACTGGTTGCTCCTCCAGAGGACCCGGGTTCAATTCCCAGCATCCACTTGACAGCTCACAAACTGTAACTCCAGTTCCAGGGGATCCAAAGCTGCTTCTGATTTGCGAGGGTTCTGCACACACGAATATGCATGCAGGTACATACGTACACATAAAGTAAATAAGTATTTTAAAAAATAAAAAGAAATTGCCTTAAAACAACAACAACAAGGAACTTCTGCATGCTACCATGGATGAAAGTCTGTCACTGGAGACTTTCAAACCCTCTTCGGGCTGGAAATGCCATCAAAGGATTCAAATCTTGACAGATCTTATTAACCTGTGTTATTGACCTTATTTTATTTCCTATATACTTACTTTCCCACATAGTTCACCACCCTCGGAAGCCTGTGGCCAGATTCATTCTCCGCAGATGAATTGTTCTTTGATAAAGATGCTGAGAGACTGTGACCAGCGACGCCGCTCCGATTTACGCATCCTCTGAGCGCCTTGTGCTCAGCACACAGCCTGGTTTTGATGGGCTTGCTTGCTTTTCTCTGGGGGTCTTTTATTCCAGAGCTCTAGCCGTGAACTTCTGGTGAGTAGAGGCAGGGCTCCTTCTCTCTGGCTCTCAGAAGGAGTGACTGCCTGCTAGGAGTCTGTTGACAGGCAGAAGAACAAGGAAAGGCTAAAACACGAAAACTATGCCGGTTCTTTTTTTTTTAATATTTATTTATTTATTTATTTATTTATTATGTATACAATATTCTGTCTATGTGTATGCCTGCAGGCCAGAAGAGGGCACCAGACCCTATTACAGATGGTTGTGAGCCACCATGTGGTTGCTGGGACTTGAACTCAGGACCTCTAAGAAGAGAGGCAATGCTCTTAACCTCTGAGCCATCTCTCCAGGCCACTATGCCGGTTCTTAACCTGCATGTCTGACATGGACCTATTGGGAAGAGGGACTTGTGGTCCCATGCCTAGCTTCCCACCTTGCAGGGAAGGCAGATGTGATGTGGGCAAGAAACCAACTACACATGTGAATTTTTTTTTTTTTTTTGGTTTTGTTTTTCGCACAGGGTTTCTCTATAGCTTTGGTGCCTGTCCTGGAACTAACTCTTTTTTTTTTTTAAGATTTATTTATTTATTATGTATACAATGTTCTGCCTGCACATATGTTTGCAGGCCAGAAGAGGGCACTAGACCTCATTACAGATGATTGTGAACCCCCATGTGGTTGCTGGGAATTGAACTCAGGACCTCTGGAAGAACAGCCAATGCTCTTAACCTCTGAGCCATCTCTCCAGCCCTGGAACTAACTCTTGTAGACCAGGCTGGCCTCAAACTCACAAAGATCCACCTGCCTCTGCCTCCTGAGTGCTGGGATTAAAGGCGTGCACTACCACTGCCCGGCTACACATGTGAAATTTGTGTGAAGGATGAGGAACAGAAAAGGCAGATCCCCCAGGGATGCTTTGAGGAGGAAGGGGAGCCTGCTATGTTTGGTCTGAGAGAAGAACATTCCAGTATCTGGGAACACTAAGGACAAAGGACCAGTAAAGAGCATGATCTATCTGTGTGAGGAAAGGAAGGAGAAGAAAGAAGTGGGGGGAGGGGGAAAGACTTGATTCTCTAGGGCAGGAAGAAGACAGCTGAACCAGCACAGGACTTTAGAACGGAGTCGTGGGTTCATTGTAAATGGAATAGGCAGCCTTGGAAGGTTTTAAACCAAGACTGATATGTTTGATTTATCTTTTATTTTTTAAAGATTTATTTTGCTTTTAATGATGTATTTGTGTGTATAAGTGCACGGGAGTGCGTATGTCCAGGGAGGTGAGAAAAAGGTTCGATTCTCAGTGAGCTCCCTGATAGAGGTGCTGAGAACTGAACCAGGATCCTCTGAAAGAGCAGTAAGCACTTTTAACCCTGCCCATCTCTCCAGCCCCACCCAGATAGATTCTTGTTTAATGCTACTCTGTGGTCTCTGCCTCAACCCCTCTCTAGTCAAGCACATGACATGACTCGGTGATACACTGGAAGCTAGTTTATTTTTTTTTTTTTTATGTTTTGCAAGGACTGAGCTGGGCGCCGCTGGAGACAGTTGGGCTCTGGAAGATTGTCGCTAGTTACGCTGGTCCCCTTCCTCAGCACTGCGGCGGCCAAAGTCCATCCATCCATACGCCTCTTCTTCTTCCTCCATCCTTGGCATCTGCTTCTTGGACAGGTCTGAGGAGGTGACAGGAAGTGAGAATGGAGAGGAGGAGGCCTGGTCTCTGGGACACTGTGAGGCCAGTAGTGGGGAACCATGGCCAGATCTGATTGGGCCAGTAGCTACTACCTGTTATGAAGTGTTGAGGACCCTGGGGCCCCAGCTGCCTTCGATGGTGAGAGGCTGGGTCCAGCTGGGCCAGCTGATGTAGTTCCAGGCCCCTGTTGGCCCCTGGTCCAGAGGATGCATCCTGTAGATGGGAGTGGGGCTTCCAAGAAGCTTCAGAGAAGGTAGCCAGAGCCAGGACTAAGATCAGCATGCACACGCACAGTCGAAACATCTTGTCTGCAAAGGGGAGAGAGCGGGACTTCAAGATGGGGCTATCCCTGGGCTGTGGGGGCACAGGCCTTTAAACCCAGCACTCGGGAGGCAGAGGCAGGCAGATCTCTGTGAGTTCAAGGCCAGCCTGTTCTACAGAATGAGTTCCAGGAAAGCCAGGGCTACACAAAGAAACCCTGTCTAGAAAGAAAGAAAGAAAGAAAGAAAGGGAAAAGAAAACACAATAAAATATTCAACCTTCAGATTTACAGAGAGAGACCTTGTTTCCATGGACAATAAGGTGTAGAGCAATAAATCTCTGACCTCCACATAGGCACTATGCACACACACACACACACACACACACACACACACACAATTTCAAAATCTCCTGGATGATTTAGTCTTAGAACTTAAAGTGAAAGTTTAAATAGAGACAGCAAAGGTGCACACACACTCACACACTCAAGGGAGTTACAGACCACACACTGCTGCTTGGAGACCACCAGCCTATACACGGGGGATGGGCCATGCCGTTGCTAGGCAACCTTGAAGGAGAGGCTCTTCAGTGTTTAGCTGATGAACAGCCTGCAACTGTACTTATGCAGCTGAGAAAAAAAAATTAAACCCAATATTTTCAACTAAGCAAGAGGGAGTTTGGGGGAAGCACAGCACGGACCTAAGGTGCAATGCCCAAATAAACATCGAGTTCTAAACCTCACCTGTTCTTTTTATTTGAGATTTGTGTGTGTTTGTTTAACTTTCCCCTGTAGGAAAAAAATGTGTATTAAATGATATTAGCACTGGGTGGTGGTGGCACATGCCTTTAATCTCAGAACTCAGGAGGCAGACACAGACAGATCTCTGAGTTCGAGGCCAGCCTGGTTTACAGAGCTAGTTCCAGGGCAGTCAGGGCTACAAGGAGAAACCCTGTCTCAAAAAAACAAACAAAACAAAACAGCAACAACGAAGATATTAGCATTTCATGACAAAGTTCTCAGATTAGGTTTCCTGTGGGAGGAAAATACTTGTGACCAATGAAGAAGTAAATGGAGACAGAGCAGAACTGATGTTCTGGCTCCGGTGTAGATCTCCGTCCTCGGGAGGCTGAGGCAGAAGGATTGTCTCAAGTTTAAGACTCTGTGAGTGCTAGGCAGATGTGGGCTAGAGCGACACGTTGCCAAAAGAAAAGGAAGAAAGGCCGGGCGGTGGTGGTGCACGCCTTTAATCCCAGCACTCGGGAGGCAGAGGCAGGCGGATCTCTGTGAGTTCGAGACCAGCCTGGTCTACAAGAGCTAGTTCCAGGACAGGCTCCAAAGCCACAGAGAAACCCTGTCTCGAAAAAACCAAAAAGAAAAAAAAGAATGAAAAGAAGAAAAGAAAGAAAAAAAAAAGAAAAAAAAGAAAAGAAGAAAAGATCAGTGCTGCAGAGAGCCATTCTGTTCAATGTGAGCCATACAGGCTGACGAATACGGCAGTCACCAGCAACTTATGGCTCTTTAAACTTAAATAAATCATTATAAAATTTTTCTGCCTTTGAACTAGCCAGATGATAAGTACCCATGTCCTATACAGGGCAGTGCAGATGTCAAGAATTCCCGTTATCACGGAATGTCCTTTTAGGCAGCGCTGGCCTAGGAAAGGGCTTGAGATGGGTTCCAGTCTTAGCCCTGCCTATTAAAGTCTATGATTCTAGGCTAGTAATACCTAGCCCCTGGGCCTCAGTTTTCTCATCTGAGAAATGGGAGGGAGCCTCACTTGCTCTTTTCCCCAGCTGGCAGGAGCCCTAGGGTTAGGGCTGAGTCCCGAGTGAAGCAGAAAGGCAGATGGGGATCCAGGATGGCAGGGTGGCCCTGAAGCGGAGGCTCAGTTCCACCCTAAGCTAAGGAAACAGCCTCACCTCTGGAAACACTGAGGTGAGAACCCCAGGTCTGAGCCATGGCCTGGAACCTCGATGGGAAGGGGGCCTGTTGGCTCTCATCCCTCTTGCCCCTCCCCTTTCCAGTTTCTCACCTGCAGAGCTGGGGGACAGGTGGCTGTTGTGGAGGCTGGGTCAGCTCTGTTCTGCCTGCTGTACCAGGTCTGCCTTATAAAGCCCTCATGGTCCCTCCCAAGCCCCGCTTCCAGGTGACTCCCAATTCTCCACCGCAAGAGAAATGGGCGTGGGGTGTAGGTGCACCCTGTCACCCTGCCCCACCCTGTCACAGAGCTGTCAATCAGCTATTTATTCAGGATGTGGGGGAAAGGAGGGGTTGAAACAGGGAGGGGACACACAAGAGACAGACTCTGGGTTCCTGAACAGCTCGTTCTACTGTGTCCCTTGGGTCACAGGCTTCCAAGTCTTCTATTGGACCACATCCCATGGGGAGGGTCGGGGAGGAGAAGGGAGAAAAAGAGAATGAACCAAATGACCTAGGATTCAGAGGTACCCATATGCTGATGCTTGATGGACAGGTAGCGTGTGAATGGGAGGTGACTTATTGATCCCTGTCCTCTCCACTGGGTTTTTTGAAAACAGGATGTAGTGTAGTTATCAGGAGCAATGGGGCATGGACTGATGGGTTTGCTCTTCCTGCTGAGAGCGTTATGTTGGTTGCCTTGAAACCCCTTTATGCTTCCTTTGCTGGGGAAAACCCTCAGCATCTCCTGTCTCTTTATGCCGTCTGTGTTGGGTGGCATCCGCCCAACGCTCCTGTACTCTCGCCCTGGGTCTGCTGCTTAATCAAACCCCTTGTCAGCCCCCTACCCAGAGCTGGTTCCTCGAGGGTCTTGCATTTCGACACTCCTCTATTTTGCTTTCAGGAGTAGAAGGTGATTTGCATAAAGGATTCATATTTTTGCAACAAAAAATACATCTTAAAATGGCTAGTGAACAAAAGCATTTCTCAAAGATGTACCAGAAGAGAAACATGACACATTTCTTGGTTTATTTGATAAATTCCTGCCTGAGTGTGTTTTGCAAGGTTATAACAAGCTCTAGGCTGTTTTTGATATTTTTTTCATAGTTGAGATTAGACAATTGCTTTTGTTCATTTTGTTGATGCGTCATTGGGCCACCCCTCTTCTTGTCTCAGGGAGCTTTGATGTCCCTTGGGTCTTGTAGAAGGGCAGTGGTACCCACGCTCACAGCCAACCTTACTGAGAGTTAACAGGTGATGAAGGATGCAGGCTGCACCGTGTCCATGGCAACCAGAGCCCAAATGTTCTAGTGAATAACCACTCTAATCCAGAGCAGGACACGGTGACTCAGCAGATGGAATAAATAAAAAAAATTACAAAACCCAGCGCAGACATTGACAGTAATTAATTGAACCACAAAAATCTCAGAGATGGAAGGAAGAGGAGGGGGTTGGGAGAAAGGACAGGGTGAGAGCAGCTCTTCTCGCGTCCTGGGGGGGATGGAGATGCTGATGTTACTATGGTAACCGGAAATTACAAGCTTTCCAAAGAGCCAGGTTGATTTCTGCCTGTGGATGGGGTTATGCCCCCTGGCTGTTCTTCCCCCAGCTAGAGGGATGACAATTATTATAAACATCAGCTTGTCTCCTATTCAGCAGCGGTGACTGTCATTGTAGGCACTTCAGAGTGTGCACAGCAAGGGTCCTCTTCAAAGACGAAAGGCATAGCGCTCTTCCCCAGGCGTGTGTCCTACATGTAGGGCTCACAAAGGCCTGTGGTCTGATAGCAAGGGAAAGTTTTCCAGCTGTCCCCTTTTCTAATGATTGTGATGTTTTCTCCTCCAAACAGTGAGGGAAAAGGCTTGAGGATGGGTCTGGGACAGAGCATTACATAAAGCACTTTGCCCATCACCCATGGAAATTGAATACATTTTGCATTTTCCCCTCTTTGCCTTCTCTGTGAAATGAGATTCGTTCATACCTGCCTCACAGGGCAGGGGTGGAGGAGAATGTAAGAAGGCCCAGACGCACACTTAGAGCGCCTTCCTCCAGGTCCTAGGGCAGGGTAATTCCGTGTGTGCCAAGCAGGTAAACCCTCTGCAGGAATGAATGCAGTTCCTCTCTGCCACGACCCTAGGACCCAAGTGTCAGTGTGCCCCTCTTCTACAATATAGAAACCGAAACCTATGTAGGGGAGCACTCTCCAGCCTGACTCCATGAACATAAAGAGGGGCTGGAGTTCCTCCTGGGAGGGATGTGGAAGGCAGAGTAATGGCTTCTTTGAATATATTCATAAACCAATCGTCAAAACCCGTTGTTGCCAAGCGGTGGTGGCACACACCTTTAATCCCAGCACTCGGGAGGCAGAAGCAGGCGGATCTCTGTGAGTTCGAGGCCAGCCTGGTCTACACGTAGCCAGATGTGTGCATGTGGCTAGAGCTTGCGAGTGGAGGTCAGAGGACAACTCGCGGGAGTCAGTTCTCTTCCACCGTGAGTCATGGGACTTAAACTCAGGCTGCAGGCTTGGCGGCAAGCACCTCCACCTTGCGGGCTGGATGGGAAATGTTCTTGGCTTTTCAAATATTTTAAATACGGCTGAAAATGTTGATTCATAGTAGAGTGCTCGTGCACCCTGCACAAAACCCCAGGTTTTACCCTCCTAGCACCACAAATACAGAAACAACCCACCCAGACCCCAAATGTTCCAAATTCATTCTCACTATGGAGCGCTAGTTTAGAGAGGGTCCAGGTAACAAGGCCCTCTCTTGGATAAGAAGTAAATATGTTCAGTGCGTTCCTTGCTTCGGTGAGCTGAGAGTCCAGGGACACAACCACAGCCCTCGTTTTCAGGGTACTCCATTAGGGTGAATGTTCCCCAGAGGCAAGGCTCCATTTGCAATCACCTGCAATGCCTGGCTCGCTCCTGCTCGCCCACACACCCTGAGCCATTATTGATGAGCTCAAACCGCTGTCAGGCAGGCCGATGCCTCAGCTTCATAATCGGTTCTTAATAGCGGGAAGGGAGAGGTTGGCCATGACTCAGCCTTGCCAGGCAGCTAGAGCTTGGAGGGTGTGATGGGACTAAGAGCGATCGATACCTGTGAGGTGTTTGTGTCCATATGGG